GGATTGTCCTGAGGAATAAACCCACCTACTGCCCCCTGTGTGAGCTGAACAGTGAAAGCACAGTTTTGCCAGTGCAACTGCATCTGTGTTGGGGGATTTTACCAGCATCCACTGTGCTGTAAATACAGATGTCTGTATTTGGGACCTGACTGTAGAATGTATCTTTACCAGCTTTAATTGATTTTAGCTAGGAGCTAACTGGCTCCAGAAGAACTACTTATAGCTTAACATTTCTGTGGAAAATGTACCATTTAGTAATTAAGGGGTTTGGAAAGCAGCCAGAATCTTTCCATCTAATCCAGTTTAAGAAAAAAGAATCAATTGGCTCTTTTTTGAATGGTAAATATCATGAAATATTTTACAAAAAATCATGGTTAAAAATAGCCTAGTTTTACTAGCTGTCATGCAGGATAAATCACTTGCATCAGGATGTGATCTTTGTGATTTGTGGTCTATGCAAATAAGCACAAGATTTTGCTCCATATTTTGTATTCAGGCAAAGTTCCCTGTGGACTTCAATGGGAATTTTGCCTAAGCAATAACAGCAAAATTGGTCCCATGTGAAAAAACCTGATCACTGGGGAAAATTAAGAGATTTTTCTTAAAGGCACAGATGGCAGTTAAGTATTTAACTTTAATTGGCTTTTTACATGAGTAGGGACCCCTCTACTGTTTTACCTTTAGAAGAATCCTCTCAGAACTCCAAAGAGAGAAATGTGCATGGCAGTGGTGGGTAGTCTGTTGCTGGGAGGGATAGAGCCAGTGTGCTCCAGAAAAGTGAAAGAATGCTACAGAGGGATGGGAAATAACTGAAACAAATGCCGAGATGGTGCACTGAGAGCTTCCATTTCTCTCATGTGAGTAGTTTTACTTGCCATGGCAGCAGTGTGTGTGTGAGGAATGAGAGAGGAGCAAAAGAATGGGAGAGGGAGCAACTGCAGAACTTCAAGGGTTTATAAGAATGCTTGAGGGGGAAAAAGCATGAATGTCAAAGTTTTTCTGGGGCATAGAATGAAATAATTTGGGAAAAGCAGCCTTGAAGACTCAATTTAGTATTTCAGCATGTCAGGTTGAATTTGAAATCTAATTGCAAATAGATCTTTAAGTTTTCCCTTTGCCTAGCATGATGGTAGGTGGGTGCTAAGAGCATGAACAAACAAAAGAGGTTTAAGGTCAAAATTATGGCAAGCTCTGTGCTTGGGTTTGGATTTAGTTGGTTTTCTATGCATTTTCCTCAAATTAACCCACTTCCATTCCAAAATATTTATTAACTCAGGTTTCAATCCAAACAAAAATCTAAGCAGCTTTTTTCAATTGGTGCTAAAGGCCCATTACAGTGATTGCTAAACTGAGACTTAGAATGAAACATAAGCAAGACTGTCACTGAAAATTTCACTTGCCTCACACATGGGCAAGATAATAGCTGTGGGGAAATGATGGTTTTATTGGGAAATGAAGACACATAATAGGTGGGACTGATTTGAACCTGATGCTGGAAGCAAGAAAAGATTAGTATCCTCTGTTGGAAGCAAGAAAAGCTAAAGATGACTGCTGGAAAAGCCAAGGACAGTAGCAAGGCCTGGGTTAAGAGATGTGGCCTGGGATCAGGTAAGGAATCCATACTTCAAGGGGCATGCAGTCATTAGAGCAAATGCAGACTGGCAGCAATGAAACCTGAGAGTCAGGACCAAGCACAGAGGAGGCAGGGACAAACAACTGAAGCTAAGGAGGTACTGTAAAGGAGAAAGCTAAGCTAAGCTTGGTTTTATTCTAAACAAAGAATTTGTTATACAGTGAAAGCATCTTGATGGTGTCATATTTGTAATTGTGGGTGAACTGGCAAAGCTTAGCTTTTGCTGAGCTGATTCTGGCTTGGTCAGCCTTTGGTCTCAGCAAAACCTGACTGATAGGAGCCCTAGCTCATTTGATTGCCACATGGACAGGTCTTGTTCAGCAGCTTCCCTCTTCCCATTCACTGGGATGTAGGGTTTGGGTACAGAGATCTATATTCCTATCATGGTCCCCTAGGTTAGGTGTCAGGAATTTCTAGTTTAGGTCCTCAGTTTCTGGTTTTTATTTCAGATTTTTTTTTAGAATTTGTGGAGTATCCATTCCTGGAACTCTTCTTCTATGGTCTGTTGGTCAGATAAAGAAATCTGTCATGGAAGTGCCTTCTCTGGAGAAGCTTCAGGTGACCTGGGGGTGGTGCATTCAAAGACAAGAAACCTGTCCTTTTTGACCCTCATAAATGTAAATAATTACATAACAGTCTGTGTATCAATTCGGGTGTTACCAGGTTCAGGCCTGGAAACATGAGATTTGCTTTTTTTGGAGAGCCTTCCTCCATTCACCAGTCAAGCAGAGACTGAATCACTGGCACTGACTCTAATCCATTTGTCCTCAAGTTTCTCTTACTTCAGGGACAGGTAGACTGTCCTCAGTCACTAAGTGGTCTGTTAGCATCTTAAAATGAGTATTCCCTTCCTCTTGAAAGCTCTTTGTTTCTGTGCTGCCTGAAGTCTTCAGGCCTTGCAAATCCTCAACTTGTCACTGAGGCTGAAAGGATTTGTCATGCTCTGGACAAAGGAGCCTCCTGAAGAGGTTTGTTGTCTCGTTACATATTCTGTGCTCCAGACCACTGCCAGCATAGCCAGGCAGAGACTGGGGTATCCCACAACTATTCTGAGTCGTTGCCAATGAGAAGTTCCACAGCACATTTTCCATATTCTCTTTTCCTGGTTTGCAAATGTCAACCACAGGTCAAGCCACATCTCTCTGTCTGTATGTATGTTTGTTTTATATGTGTGTGAGCATGTACATACACATACAGAAATAAAATGGGTTAATCTTTCAGGTATGTAAGGAAGCCTTGCACATGGTCTTCAGAAATTCAAAGAAAATACAAGTGAAATCTTCTGGAATTGAATGGTTGTAAACTCTGGGAAGGATGTGTAGCAAAGGAGCTAGGGAGAGAGGATTGGCAGATACTGTGAGGAATGCATGATTCTCCACTGCTGGATGTTTGGAGGCTGGGAAGGCAGGTGTTGGTCTCTGCAGCATGAGAACATAGGCAGTAATTTGTGGAGGTGCATATATTTGTATTGATTAGGCTTCTTTTATAACCAAGGAGTGAAAACCATTTGTGGGTTCATTAGGGTTGGCATTAAAGATGTTTAAAGGTGAGTAGTACTGTTCTGCAGAAACCTGTGGAAAAAAACAACGATCAACACAAAATACATCTTACCTGAACTTTGACCCAGCCCTTCTATCACTGATGCAGGAAATGCCATGTTCAATTCTGTAGGTGCTTTTTCCTGGATTGTGTTCGAAATTAGAAGCTTTTATGTGCAATAACCAGGAATGGAACTGCCAGCATTGCAGAGGCTGTAACTCCAGCACCCTTCCCGCAATCCTACTGGAAATAAAACCTGGACATTTCCTTCCACAGCTGATGGACACATGATTCTCAGGAACCATGTGCAAGAATGGGAAGATATGGAAACTGCCAGAAAGTTGCAGTAACACAGGTAGTCAGGGAAAGGATTGTATCTGAGGGAATCCAGTTACTGGGATGAACCATGTGGTGAAGACATAGGCAAGTATTTCACACTTTGTGATTAAGAGTAATAGTGCTTCAAGTTGCTTATGAAATTGTAATGCCTTTAGTGATATCCTTGTTAAAATAAGTTGGAAGTAAGTTTGACTGTGCAATTTCTCTGTTTTCAGTGCATGACTTAGGGCAGAGATAGAGAAGATCTTTAATTCTGGAAAAGTATTGGGAATAAGAGGCCACTATGTGACAGGAATCTCCAGGTGATGAAAATTAAAATGTTTCCAATTACCATATGGCCACAGCTGCTCTTAAGGTATCCTTCAAGGAAGGAAAAAAATCAGAAGTAGAGCTGGGGGCTAGCCTCTGGGCTAGGAAAGGAACTCTCTTCACAGGACTGCCTCCAGTTCTACACTGTAGGTATTTCCCTTCCAGACCTTTTTCCTTAACACAAAGAAACATCCTCCATATCTTCAAACCCTGTTCTTCTGGCTTTGTAACCCTTCCTTTTGAAATGGTCTCTTGGGGATATCATGAGGAAAATTCACTTCCCTGTTTCACGGGATTGCAAGAGGTGCGCTGAGACATGCACCATTATTACAGTGAAATGCATGAAATGAATTGCCAGTGAATATGAGACAGTTTTAGCATGAGGTATTCTTCAGGCCATGGTTCCAATTCATGAAGGTGGTCACTGTGTTTTTCAATGTGTCTAGTTGGCTATCTTGAGTCCTGTTGAACATGAGGTAATGTTGATATTCCAGTTGTGGGGTAGTAAACCTGCAAAAAGTTCTCCTGTGCTCTGAAGGTGAGGTCTTAATTGTGTACCAGCACAGCTTTTCATGCATAACTTTGAAAGGATTTCATTCCATGACCATAATTTCTTTTATTAGTTTTAAGATTAAATTCAACTGTTACTGTAACATCAGAATCAAGATTTATGCTAGAGAAAAATAAGCCTGTAACTTAAAGAAGAAAGAACGAAATGTCATTTGACAATGGGGTAATGCAATCTGTGCACATTCAGCCATCACTCCCTTCCCTGGCTTTGGTGCAGGGAGTGAACGCTCTTGCTTTGTGTCCAGGCTGCAGGTTTGGGGGGAGAGAAAACAAAACTGCACATACTCTGCAAGGAGGAGCTATAACACAGATTGATCCGGTTCAGAAGAAAGGAAATGTTTTCTTCCAAACCATTACACAAATTCTGGATGAGCATAAAACTGTGTAGTTTCACCCTGAATGCTTTTCAAACAGAACGCTTCTTTCCGGAGTGTGCATGTCAATATAAGGCAAACGGCATAAATGTCACGCTCAGCCTGTCCGAGCTGCGTAGTTTTGTTCTCGTGCAATGGGAGCAGGTGGTGGGAGGTTGTTTTGATGGGCTGAGAAGCTCCTCCCCTCCTTCCCCGAGCAGCATTCTCATCTGCGTCAGCAGTAATTGTGTGCCTTGCACTGCTTTCAGTGAGGGTGGGTGCAAAAGATACATCAATGTGAGGTATCAAACTGAGGCTTTGGTGTTGCTTTTAAGCGGCTACTCATTTCCTTGAGCCATAATATGGGCTAAAGGTTAACTGACACATTCTGCGTGGAAGAACAATTTCTCTTTTTTTGGGGAAGGGAGAAGGAGGGGGAAAGGGCGTTGTTTCATATTCCTTCCTACCTATAGACTCCATGTGATGTACAGTGCTGCTCATGCAGATTCCCCCCCTCTCCCCCCCACTGGATTATTTGCTAATCAGACTTCAGTGCAGTGGCGATAAGGGCGAGACTGTTGCCTAGCTAGGAGGCTGTGCCGGCGCCCGAGCCTCGGCGGCAGGAGCGGCGCCGCTCCCGGCGCGCCCAGCCCGGCGTGCCGCGCGTCCATGGGCCCGGCGCGGCGGAGCTGTCCGAGGTGCTAGGATGCTGGTTGCAGCCGGATTGCAGCGGGAGAGGAGCCCCACAGTCCTGCTGGCACCCGAAGGTAGGCTTGCTCTTTGTTTGAGAATCCCTGATTAATCAGCAGCAGCATCCACGGACCCGGGCAGCTGGAGAGAGCAAGCCTGCCTGTAGTCACGGGGAGAGACAGAGAAGATGCCACGAGCCAGACTGTTTCAGACCTACTGTAAGTGGCAATGAGCGAGCAAGCATCTTTCCTGCTGCAAGAAGCCATTTGGATAGGATATTTGCTGTTCCTTATATTCCTTTCTTTTTGTCTCCACAGAACATATTCAAATGAGGCACCTTAGAAATCTCAGTGTTAGTGCATATGATGGTGCTGTAATCGTCTGTGTTGTAAAGTGGGTAAAAATCATCCAGTTTCTTCTCTGCTGGACCTCAACGCAGGGTGTTGTTTATACCCTCCCATTATCCGTACCCTCTCCTCTCTGAATGTGGATTTAAAGAAGCAAGCACCTGTCTTTTCTTTCCACTTCATTTTTTAAAGCCAAACTTTCCATGCCATTTTAATCGTATGTTAAGAAGATCTGTAACATACCACATTGACTTATAGTGATGTCGAATTCTACAATCTGGGCAATTCTGCCAACAAGATTTAATGCACTTTAATTGAAGAAAAAACTGAGCCTAACTGAAAATCTGTTTCTTATGGTGCTGAAATATCCCTTCCGACTGCACTGAGATAACCACAGGAAAGGGCTTTTACAGGCAAAAGTCACCTTTGATTATTGCACTTAGCAGTCCCCGTGGACTTGAATTTTGGTACGTACTTATTTTAATACATCATATGAGCATGCTAATAAAATGTGGTGCTAATTAGAATGAAAAAATAACATTACAAAATGAAATAATGAGTTGTCAGAATGCATAGTGATGAGGTTGCATGTATTTTTAGAAGGTATTAATCAAGCCATTGCTAAACTAAAAGCTGAAGTCTATTTGACTGGTTTTGTGTACTTCACATGTTGATTGTGCTTGTAATAAAGACATTTGGCAGCTGATTTTTTTTTGTTTGTAAAAAGCACTGTTAAATAATTAAAACCATTCTTTTGTATTTTCTGATGAATTAATTAAAATAATTTCTAACATCTATGATATTCACTTATCAGACCCATTGCACCATTAATATTTTACAGCATCTTAACATGATGCTGGTGGTAGTGAAATCTCCATTTCATTTTCTTAAAGAGGAGGGAAAAAAAAAAAAGTCCATCAGCAAGAAGCTCATTATTTCTTCATAGTCCAAATGCACTTCTCTTTGCATAGACAATGTGTGTATATGTATGCTTGTTGTGTGGTTTTATTTCTTGTTATTTATAAGTCATCTGCATAATAATGGGATGATAAAAAGTCATATCGCACTTTAGTGCTGTCTATTCTGAATCTAGGTTTGCAATTGTCCAACATCCACAGGTTTAGGAAGAAACCTTATTTTCCTCTGGGAATAAAAGTGATAGAAGTGTTGCTGTATTGCAAAGTAAACAACAGCTTTTTACATCTTGGAGTCATAGAGGAGTCATTGTTAGCAAAGACCTTTTTCCTTTTCAAAAGGCACCTGGAAGAGGGCCAAAATTCAAGGCCCAGGCTATTTGTTTTAATTCTTAAAACTATGGGGAGCACAGCTTTCCCCTATGAAGGGTAGGCCATCTGTAGAAATTGACTATTCCTTTAAACCCATGCAGTAGCAATTTCAGTCTACTGAAGGAGACACTTTTAACCTCTTTAAGTGAAGGGCTCAGCACTACTTAGCTTTAGTGATTTCACCCAGGTGCTAGAGCTCCTGCTGTGCAATACAATGAGCACCAGGTATATAATCGGCAATCCCAGCCAGAATATAAAGTGTATTTTGTACTTCCAAATGACAGTAGTGATTCCTTGGTTGTTTTTCTTTAAATAGCTGCATATATAGTTGTCAAATGATAAGTAGTAGGAAAGTTGCAGCCAATTTCAGAAGGTCTTTCCTCTTTGACATTATAATTTCTGGCATCACTGTATGTGGAAACAGAAATGTCATTTTATTGTTAAGAATGAGCAGGGAATGCAACTCTAAAAGGCATTTCTTAACAACTTGTCTCATCACGTTCACTTGTTTGGGTATTTCAAATATCACTTGATATAAGGCACAGTTAATAGGAGACAGAGTTCTGCAAAGTAGTCTCTAGTATATTTTTCCCTCATTAATTTTTTGTTGATTCACTGAAAGTATTTTTTTTTACACCCAATACCATTAGGTCCTTATTAGTGCTGCTGTGGTCAGCAGTTTGTGAAAACTGGATACGGCTGGCCTGTGTGCTTTTATTCTTGCAAGAAGCTAGAATACAACAGCTCAGACTCGAGGGTTGAATGGCTGGTTATCCCTGTTTGTGCAGAATCCTTCTGATACAATAAATTTAGTGGAGGGAGTTAAAAGGTAATGAGAAAGCAGATGCTCTTTCAAAGAGAGGAGGCAGTGTTTGGGAGGGAATCAGGCAGTACTGGAGAGGTGTGTAGCAGGCCTTTATAAATTTGAGATTGGACTCAGGACTTTGGACAAGCCCACACTTGTTTTTCCATGGTCTCTTCTCCTATGCTATAGTTAAAAAAAAATCCCTCTGGTTTGGAAGAAGGCAATCAGTGCCTTTGTCATTACTTCAAAAAGCTCCTTCAGTTTAGTGTTAGCATTGCCAATTTTCAATGCAGCACAGCTGCAGCTTATGGCTGTCAAGCAAGCTGAAAAGCAACTGATATTCTGGGGATCCTGATGTGAGTAAGAGAGAATGGCATGTCAGAATCTTCACATGTAGCACTGCTTGGATACTGTGATATTCAGTTGATTAGTCATATTCTGAAATCAATATTTTTGCACACTGATCATAGGAAAAGGAAGTGGTTTGATCCAAAATGCTGTATACGTGGCACTAGAGCAGAGGGTTAGATCAGAAGTAAGGTATGCAAGCGTCCTGTGAAACACAGTGCACTCTGCTCTCACAGAAATTGTATCTGAATCAATACAATGATCTTGAATTTAGTTATGCAAATATTTTTAGGTAAACCAGGAAGGGGGTTGCTTGCCCTTGCCAGTAAACCAGATGCATTGGCAGGGAAGGAAAAAAAAAATCTTTCTTGCTTTACTCCTCCCATGCTGACAGCTGAATGCACGAGCCATGCCAGTGCAAGCTCTGGTCTGGGGGTACCTGAAGGCGCAGGTGTCAGTGAGCAAGATGGGTGTGATTGTGGCTTTTTCTCAGTGATGTTTCACAGTGTTAGTCTTTAAGAAGCAAAGTGTACATGATGCAGAGCTCCTTCTTTGTGTCCTTGTGCTCAGACGGATTTTCAAATATGTTCAGGGAACAGTCAGATCCAAGTTCTCCCAAACAATTTTTGTTGGCTTCTCAGTATGTTAGCTTCAATAGCTAAACTCCATGGCTTTTCCTCTGCCCTGTAGTCTCCTTTTGTTCCTTCACAATGAGGAGGGGAAAAGAAAGGAGTGTCTAAAGAATTTCTCAAGTGGTACAGCTGCCAGTTATAATTTTCCATGACTGCTTGATTTCAGAAAACAAAATGTGCTGAAAGCAGCTTGATTACGAATACATAGGTGACTGCATGTAGTCCTTGTTACTGGCTAACAAAATCCCTGACCACAGTGTGCCTGTTAGGGATACCAGGATCGTGGGGCCTCAGCTTACATGACTTATTTAGCAATTTGCATTTGCACAGTTCTGATCAAATATGAATGTACTCAAAAAGAACCCTTGCTTGTGCCTATATCTGCCCTGACAAATGGTTAGGATTGCTCACTGCCTGAATTTACCAGTCATCAGAACCTTTGCTCAGAAGTTGGTAGTGCTGTCCAGCCATTTTCCAAGGAGGGGGACAGGCAGGCACTGAAGGGAACTCCAGGGGCCATATGTGTTTGCAGCCTGTTGTAGCTATTGAACACATTTATTAAGGTAACATATTCTCTGAAATGGCATTAATACCTGTAAGTAAAATTGGTCCTGGTGTGCTGCCCAAGGAATACTAAGACTGTAAAAATGTTTACAGTAGTTAATTAAGCTTTTTGCACCTCATGTTTGCATTTTTAATCCGAGTTTAAGTATAGCATGCACAACTATTCACTATTAGTAAATGTAGTGAGACTGTGAAATACCACATACACAGGAGTTACATGGGATTTGAATCAGAAAATGCTTGCTGTTTGCACAGAGGCTTTTTGGAGTTAATGCCATAAAAGCAGGTTCAAGGTTCTGAAATATCTGTATGTCCCCCGCTGCCCCCAGGAGTACCCCAAACTGAATCTGGTGTCACAAGCATGCAAGTTCATTAGCTACAGTTGCTCAGTACTGCTGTGAGATTGGGCCCCTGTTAAGACAAAGAATAGATCTTGCTCTATTTAGGAAATAGTAAATTTTTGCATGCATTTAGTAATAAAAATGGATAGCAAACCACAATATGAAGTCTCTCCTCAGAAAGAGAATGAAACATGAAACAGAATAAGGGCTTTTTATTTAATTCTTTTGTAACTGGAATGACCTCATCCTCCTGTTTAAAAAAGAAACATCATAATGCAAGGAGATTCAGCATATCCTTAATTTTCAGCTCATTTCTGACCTCCAAAAATAAAGGAAGCAATGAGGAGAAGAAATGCAGTATAGTCACAAAAGACAGTGTAAAGCATATCATGTTTCTTGAGGAAAAATGGATGAGAACTGCATTTATTGAAACCCTGTTGAAGTTATCTTCAGTACAAAATTTCCTATTACATTGCAGAAGTAAACCATGGTCACTGAAGAAATCAGTGACAATACTGGCATTCAGGTTGCTAGGGTGAGATTTCTCTGTTGTGCAGGTTTATTTGAATTTAATTCAACATATGCTGAAACAAGTTTTTACTGGAAGTCAAAAATACACAATCAATAACAATCTACTGGGGAAACAACCCAGATTTTAACCATCAAAAGCAGATATCTTTTGAAGAGTTTAGAGAAAGGGGAGTTAGAGCTGTCTGTGCTGTTAGCTTTGCTTTTAATATTGTAGCCTTCATGCTATAGAGAGAGACTCAGGAAGGGGCTTTGATATCTGGCCTTACTTTTCTTGATCACCAAGGTTAGGAATTAGTCTGAAATTATGTCTGCTGAAGAATCATAACATTCATGGTGTCTATTCAGCTCACTGCCAGCTTTCCAACATCCTCCTGTGCAGACAGTGTGCTACTTATGGTGAACATACAGAATGGCTGAATGCACATTCCAGCCCAGCAGAGTTCTAGCCAGCTCCAGTGTCAGAGCTGTGTGAAATGGCATGCAGGCACATTGGGCTGCTCTAAGACCTCCTTCACTGCTTTTACCCTGCAGGGATTAGTAGGAGATGCTTATACCCATACCAGAAAATGCTTAAAGATCACTTCAGTGACCCTCAACATCAGCCTTATTTTCATGTTCAGGCATAGTTGAAAGAAAAGGTTGTTCTTGGAAGGCAGGAGAGGTAATAGGAGAAGACCCTTTGCATCCTCTTAGTCTTCATGATTTTAACAGTTGTGTTACCATTGTACAGAAATAACTTTGATATGCAGGCACGAGAAATAAAGGGGAAATTATCAGTGTGCTTTTGAAGTATTTAGAGACTGAAACTAGCTGCTTGTTGCCATTGCCACTTCAAAAGTTTCCCCCGATCAAAACAGGGGAAAAACATTCAAGGGCAGAAATGTATTTCTCTACTATTTTCATCCCTTGCATTTTCAGAGTGAGGGCCCATATCTGAAGACCCAGAGTAGATTTCTAGAATCCTTAAGATCATTTAAATTTATTTATTTTTAATCAGTGCCAACCCAGATCAGAATTTTACTTCTCCAGTTATGTAATAAATGTTAGAAATATAACATTGTACTAAGAAATAGGAGAAAGATTTTTGTCACTAATTCCACAGGAGCCCTGCCCCTAAAATCTGTGTGCAGACAGGATTCTTATTGCCTATTCAATAAGAACCTTTCTAGCTGTAGTGTTGGCATGTTCTGAGGCTGATTCCGAGAAGCTACGCCATCGTTCTTCAGGGAAGGGAGGAATGCTGTAGCAGTGAATAAGCAAACGTGCCTTAGAGAGCTGAGTTCAGCTGCCAGCTCTGCCAGCAAATCACTCAGAGAGTTCTGCACCAACTCCCTGCCTGGGGATGAGGACTTCTCAAGGGGCTGTGTGCAGGTAATGCCACTCAAGCTTGTAATGCTTCTGGACCTTACAATAATCAGTATTTAAAATAAGATGGAACAGTTCTATGGGGTTTTTTTATTCTATTTTACTAGTTTAATAAGTTTAATCCAGTCCTATCCAGCACGGACTTTAGAGAGAGACAGTCTATCGCTTGAAATTCTACCTTGCCTTTAGTCTCCTGTAGTATTTACTGATGTGTCTATACACCAGAGCTCTTGCAACTCCCAGGAGTTCTGTTGATGAATGGAAAACCTTCAAGGCTTTTCTGTAGGCTTTTCTGGCTGCCTGCCACAGAGCCAGGAATGACCCGGGGGTGTAAGTGTTTCTGCTCCAAGGTGTTTAGCTGGGGATGTAAACTTCAATGTCTGTCGTATCTCTGGAATACAGATTCTTGGTGACCTCAAGGGTCTGTTCTGAAAGTCCCAGCTCAGCTGGGCATTCTTGTCCATTCTTGGAGCTTCAAGCTCACAAGATGTTGGGCAAAGGATGACCAGGCCTTATGGGCTCATATCACATTAATAAGAAATACAAGAACATATTTCACAATATTTCTTTCTGAATTTTGAGCCTGAAGAATGCTTTTAAGTTTTTTGTTTTAAAAAATGGAACAATGCTTTTCACTTGAACTTTAGAACATCCTCCAGATATTAGGAACTTTTTCTGGTAGTCAGAATAAAATTTCTTTTCTGGTAATCTGCTCTGTTGCAGCCTTATCTAAACTGTAAAAGAGGACCTGTCGTCCTATGATAGGAAGCCTTCTCAGTTCAGTTCAAACTGGTATTCAGGATGGCAGTGTTTATGCAACTGTTGGGTACTAGGAAATGGGAAAGGGCAGAAGAAAATATTATTGGGATTTAAACAGTATAATCTTTTGAATCTGCATTGCCTGGAAGAAGAGATTCTTGTTTTTTTCTCCTCTTGTCTCGAATAATGTTGTTCTGTGTTCTGAATTTCTTTGTTTATTATCCTTTAAATGGGAAAGTCTGAAAAATTGTCTCTTATGGAGATGTTAATTACAACTGACATGATCTTACTGTCATAAACCATAAGCTATTTTCCTACTGATTAAGGTATTACATGTTTTTCAACCTGCAGGAAACGTTGCTTTCCCTTGTTCATTATCTCCTGCAAGATGATGAGTTCTAATCAGGAGGAGGTCACTTTGGGCGCTTTTCTCCAGTATATTGAAGATATGGGGATGAAGGCCTATGATGGCTTGGTCATACAGAATGCATCAGACATTGCTCGAGAGAATGATCGCATGAGGAATGAAACAAACCTGGCTTACTTGAAAGAAAAGAGTGAAAAACGCCGAAAGCAAGAAGAAGCAATAAAACGGTAAATATTTTGATAAAAAGATGAGTGGTCTGGCAGAGTAATGAAAAGCAAGGGATTCAGATATGGTAAATATGTGTAGAGCAGTTGATTTTTAAGATAGCAAAAGCAGCACAGACCACTGGCCTCTGTCAAGCCTCCAACGTATGGTTTACATTGTGTAGACATAGTCTGAGCATGTGTGGCATCTTGAACAGGTGTGGTTTGTAACAAAAAGTTTGGGTATTTGGAATGGATGTAAATCTAGGGACAAATGGGTTGTTATCCTCTTAGGGCTTTTAGATGAACAGTTTATACTTTGTGCAAAAATGTATTTGTGTGTGAGCACGACAGGGACAGTCTCACAGCTCAAAATAGACTCTTCTTGAGCTGATGTTTTAAGTCTGGTAAATTTTCAAAGCTTTCTAACTGGTGTCTGAGGTATTTTTAAAAGAAGCATCTTTTATTTACATTTTCCTTTCAGTCATCTGATCTCTGAAGTCAGTAAAAATATTGCAATCACTTACAGGAAAATGGATCAAGCCCCTGATGGGCAGAACCCTATAACAGCTCTTCTTGAACAATTCCATTGATTTTAATTGACAGTTAATGAGAGGAGCACTTGCATGACCTGGTGGCTTGTGCCAATGGATATCAATGAAATCTCTGCAGCCTCTTGGAGAGGAAAATAAGGTTGAATGGAATAGATATAAATATGTATTGCATACACATTTGCCAGTACAAAAATTTTTTTTCTTGAGGTGAAGGTAAAATTCTGTAATAGAGGTAAATCCTCCATGCAAATCTTTAACTTTTATATGTGAATGGATGGCTTGAGCATAAACTGATAGGAGGTCCTTTGAATTTTTTTCCCCCAGCATGAATCTTATGTATTTCTGTTTAAGTGATTAAATTTTATGCTATGTCTTGGGTACTGTACACCCAGGTATAACAGACATGCTGTGCTGTGAACGCTTGAGCGACGCCTTGGTAGTCTGATAATTTTGATGGAACATTAAAAGGAAAAGAGCAGCACACACAGTTTGAGAGGGGAAATAGATGAAGGAATTTAAAGCAAAAGTATGGCGGCTTTATGTTCCAGGAAGTGGAACTATTTGGATTGTCAGCAATTTCATTGGAGCGATAAGAATAATGTTAAATTAAGGTGAATACAGACAATTAAACTGTACTCTGGCTAATCTGCTTGCATGTATTTTATATGTGTGACCAAAAAGGTTACTAAGTACTAGAACAGATTTTGTTATGAATAATTTTCTTGGGACATGAGAGAGTAACTTGTGGGCCTACCTGGTTCTTTATAGTCCTCTGGCCAAGCTTCTCTACCTCATTTGATTAGTAGTGATAGTATTTCCTACAATGTATTTGGTTTGTGTGGTTTTGTTCATTGATCCTGGCAAAGCTATTTGATGAAGAGCTCTGGAGAAGTACAGATATTTAAGGCTGAGCCAAACCATGAAATTCTTGTCCACACTCAACTGAGATCAATGAGAACAGAATATTTATATCTTCAGCCACAGAGCCAGAAGACAGGAAGTAGAGGGCCAGCAACAAAGTGGGTTTATTAGAGGAACAGCATGTATTTGCATGTGGTTTGGAGATATCAACATTTCCTCAATACAGTGCTCTTCTGTAGGAAACTGTTTGCAGTGATCCCCTCTGATCTCTCCCTGTAGGCACACAGTTTGTGGTGATTGGGATGGGCTGGCCCAGCCTCATCCCCAGTGGGCACAGCTGTGAGCAGCAGGTGAGCAGCACTGACAGCAATGAGCCATGGAGTGCCCAGGGGCACTGAGCAACCACCAAAGGGAGCAGAGGGCACACAGGTGCAGGGCATCAACAGGAGGGGATAAAAGGCTGGGCTAAAGAACAAGAAGGGCAGATGCTTGCAGCCTTCTGAAATGATGTGATATTCCTCTGTTTGGGCAGACAACTGAAGTGGTAAGGTGTTATTGTGTATGGGCAAATGCTCAAAGCTTTCTGAAATTGCGTGATACTCTGTGTGTGATGGCCAACTCAAATCAGGCATATGCTGTGGTACCTCCCTGTTGGCTTATCTCAATAACACTGGGGGGAGAACAATATCTGCCTGAGGAAACAACATAGGAAAACACCTCATAAAATCATGAAAAACACTTTCTTTAACTTTCTTTCTTTAAGTCTTTTTTGCTTTCTCCCATGTAAACTTGAAGAAGTAAAAAAAAGATACTTGAGATCAACATTTGGTGGGAAAAACTAAAAGCAGTAGCAGACCAAGGGAAAATACCTGATTTGACTAAAGGAACCATGATGTCTGAAGTCACTTAGGCTGATTGCAATTGAGTTGGCTCCCTCTAGTAACCTCTAGAGATTTATCCAAGACTGTGTTGTCTATTGAAATGCAGCAGTCAGGAAAGGTAAAGTAGGATCATTGATTTCTTCTGTGCTCTGTACTCTATTCTTTATGTCTTTACCTTGTCTTGGTGGGTATTTATATTATCCCTAATTCCTGAGAGCGTGGCCTAGATAGCAAGTGGTGCACATGTGCAGTGGTAACTGCTACCAGTCTGGAGACTCCCAATGGCTGAAAACAATCTCCTTAGCAACAAGAGAGTCATCCCCTGCGATTAACTGCAGGTAGATTTTTGGGAAGGAGAGCGGGTTCCCACAAATACTCTTCTTTTGCATGTGAGAATCAAAATAAAGCAGCCAGAAGCCTTTAGCATCTACTGAGAATTACCTGCTAGTCCAAATGTTGAATTATTTAGAAGCTATTCAATTTAGTGTTCAGATGGCCTCTATTAGAAGGCTGTGTATATTAACAAGATAATAATGAGTAATATATTGTCTAATAAAGTGGTAGTATTCACACACAACACTATTTAGAAGCAGCTGTTATTTACCTAAATCATCTCATAACTATGCTGAATGACTAAAGTTCATTGAAATGCATTAGGCTGAGCAGTTTGGAAACAAGATCTGAAAAATGACCTAAAAAAAATGTTTGATTGTACATTTTGCTTTCCAAGGGCTACGTTGGGCTGTTTCTTTAGTAGCACTGATGTACCTTCTGTATGATTGCTGTCTCATGGTGTCTGGCTCTGATAGGTTAATTGTGGGGAAAAATGTATGGATCCATTGTACATTGCAGGAGATAAACACAGCATATTGGATTGGGAAAAATAAAAGCAACTAGTCTTTGTCTAATCTTGCTGGCTGAGTCAGCTGATCTGATCTGAATTTTTGACCTAATTTTACTATGGTTCTTAGCGCTCATGCGGAGAAAATAAGGTTAATGTGCTGATTAGTAGCTGAGAGCAGGGCACAATAAATACGTATGTATATAGGACCTAATGTATAGATGATTTTTCTGCCATCTTTTATTCATCTGGTCTAATTACATGATCATTGTCTATTCAGGGAGCTGTGTCCAGATTAAGAGAAGGTGCTGGCATAATGCCCACAGAGCCTATAAATTGTAAATAAAGTTATGGAGCAGTATCATTTTCACTGGCAATACCATGGGATGTACATTTGCCATGATACAATAGCAGCTGTAGGCAGCATTTCTGGGAACAGAAGGTAGATTTGTCTCAGCTATTGTGGGTGCCAGGAAAAAGGTGAGTATTTTGAGTTTATATAGGGCATCTGCTGGAATTAACCATTGCTTTCTGACTCATCCATAACTGACATGCACATATTTAGATACTTTAGTATAGTTTTGTGTGGATACTTTACCAATGTTTTCCCTTTTTAATTACACAAATATAAAATCTTGGTAAGAAACAAATAATGAATCCTCCTCCTCTGATGGCTCAGACATGTTGCATAAATCAGAGTGCATGCTTTCAAAGATCTGGCTTCTGTTGTTTGTGCATCATTCAAGTTATTGTCAGGGAAGTAATATTCACTTGTAACACCGTGAAGATGTGATTACTCCACTGTAAAGCTGGTGGTGCCAGTGGGCATGAATTTCTGCCTGCCAAATCCTGGACTTAGTCATCAAAATATTTACTTCTAATGGTTTCCCTTACTTGTAGCTCCTTCCCAGGACCTAAATGGCTCTATGGAAAGCCTTGCTTGTGCTTGTATCCAGACAGATGCTGTGAGGAGGAGGAGCTTTTAGGAGCACTGTTGTGTGCTAAAGCTAGCAGAAATGGGCCAGCCAGCCAGTGGCAGAGTTAAGCTCTTGTAGTAAAGAAGGAATTGTAATGAACAGCTGTCAACATAACCTCTCCTTTCTTTGGCAAACTGAAGTACTTTAGTACTGAAGACTAACCCATCAGCAAAAGTAAGATCATATTTTTCTTCTTGCTTTTTCTTTTCCTTTTTTTGAAACGGTTGTGGAAGTAATTGAATTCAGGTATTATCTTTCTGTAGTCTTCTGTCGTTCCTATCCTTAGTTTCCCTTGTGAACAAGACGTAAATTATGTGTCCTTTAGCTAAAAGTTGTGTTATCAAGTGTGGGTGTCAGCAAGAAAGTATAAAAAGATTTCTATGCATGGGATTATTCACTGCCAGAACTCTGTTCAGCTGAGAAAATGTGTGTAATCTTAGACTACATGGACATGCTGAAGAGTTTTTACCAAAATATTTTTACTAGAATAAAAAATAACCAAAAATAATTTCATTATGAACTTAATTTTTAAAATTTTGTCTTGAAAACAGAACAATACTTTAGGTGAAGGTATTTTCTTCTTTTCTGAACATCTGTCTGTAGTTGAAATTCTGTGTAGTAAACTGCATCTTCTAAATTTGCAGGAATCATTATGCTTGCTAGATTACAGTATGCTTATAGCCTGACCTCAAAAAATGGTGAAGGAAGTGCATTAAATATTATGGGTCATGGTGAGAGCCTCAGCTGAAATACCTGTAAACACTTTATTGAAATATTATACATTACAAGCTTGTTAACCCATTGTTTTTTGCTTGGTGTGTTGATGTAAATCGTGGGGGTTTTTTTTGGTTTGGATTTTTGTTTTGGGTTTTTTCTTTGTTTGTTTTTGTTTGGGTTTGTTTGTTTTGGG